AGCTTCCATTTACTGACAACTTACTCCACGCCAGCCTGTGCCAACGTGTGTTAATTCATTTGACCCTCACAACAATCCTTTGAGACGTGCCCTGGTTTTACCTCATTTTATAGATGAGGAAACTGAGGCTCAGAGAGGGTAAGTCACTTGCCGAGAGTCACACAGCTGCTAAGTGGCAGAGCTGGGGTTTGAACCCACACAATTAAAGAGTGAGACCCATTTACAGATGAGGACACTGAGGCTCAGCATTATACCTCCTGACTGTCCACCATCAGCTCACTGGGACCCCTGTGCCCTACACCTGACCTTCCCAGAACACCACCCCCGCTACCCCCGCCCAGGGCAGATGCTGATATCCACAAACCTCTCCCACCACATCGCCCCTGTCTGATCAAGGCAGTGAATGCGGGGGAGGGTGTCCAGTCTCAAAGCCCGCCTGGAGAGGATGTTGCAATCCTCTGACTCAGCAGAGTGCGTGCAGACCCAGCAAGAGGGAGAAAAGGGAAGATTAAGTCTTGGCCCAAGCCCCAGATGGGCTGATCCTGCCTAGTGCCAGGGATTCCAGTAGCCGCCAAGGCCCCAGGGTGGGGAGGAACCAAGAGGTGCAGGGCATGCTCCAGGAAGCTGGTCTGCACTCACCCCTGGGGGTGGGGTGCAGCCTCGGAGAACAGAGCTGACTGCCAACCCAGGGTGGACTTGCAGGCCAGAGCCCAGATGGGAGGCTGTGTGACCTTGGGCAAGTCCCTTCCCATCCTGATCACCGTCTCTATTTTCCTCTGTCTGCAGAATTCACTTGCTCTCCCCAAGCCTCTCTTAAAGCTAACTTGATTCCCTCCTGCTGCAATGTGACCTTCTGTCCGTTGGGTCAACCCTCCCTGGCCTGCAGAAGAGCACTGTAGGGAGAGTGTAGACCCTAGGGCACGTGACCTTGCCTCTCCTGTGCCTGAGTTTCCCCATCTAAACCATTTCTTCCCAGGAAGTGTCTAGAATTAGAGCCGAGAGGGAAGGCCTGCGGTCTCTGGGACGAATGACCACCCCTCCCAGGTAAGTGGTGCAGCAACCAGGATGCTGGGGTCACAGAGACCTGGCTTAAAAACATGACTCCCCCTGTCTCTCACTAGGCAGTGACTTCACTCCCTTGTGCCCGTTTCTTTCTCTGTAAAATAGGGATTTTCGTTGACTTTTCTTCACAAGGTGTCAAGAGAATGAAGTGGGTCAATTCCTAGTGGGAGCTCAGCTAGACTGAATATGTCCATCTTGTCTCATCTCTGGGTGGAAAACAGTGACAAGAAAGACCTGGCCTGATGGGTGAAAGCAGGCAACGTGGAGACGAGAACAGATATCACTCATTCATTCAGCCATTCATTCTGCACACCTGGTCTCAATCTGCTCAGCAGTCCTGAGAGGCAGAAGCTGTTATCATCCCCAACCATAAAGTCACGACAAAGGCACAGAGAGGGAAAGCTACCTATCCAAGGTCACACAGCCAGCACATGGCAGAGCCAGGGCTCCAACCCATGTCTCTAAGCCCAGCATGTTGAATCCTAATTTCCTCAATGAAATGGGTCCTGCCGTTGAAAATTTGGGTTAATTGATAATAATAATAATAATTGTTATTATTCCTATGCCAAGTTATAACAGGAAGAATGGTTATAACAGGGAGAATAACAATAGCCGCTACGTTGCATTGAGCACTTTATAATTCAGGATCTACAGAATGGAAGCGTATTTTCTTGATTTAGTCTGTTTTATAAATGGGGAAGCTGGGACTCCGTAAGGTTAAATAACTGCTGCAAGTGACAAAGCTAATGAAAACCCGAGACAGGACTTATACCCAGGCCTCAGTCAGAAGCAAAGAGAAGGCCCAGGAATGAAGCCAATAGGAACTTAGGGTCTGACCAGCCCAATCTTCTCCTCTTAGGAGAAACTGAGCTCCCCCCCGCCCCCGCCCTGACCCCACCAAGAGCAAGAAAGCTGTTCCAGGATCACAGCCTTCTAGCTGGGACTTCATTTCCCTCTTGGGACCTTGAACAGGTATAATCGTGGCCCTTCCTCCCCCAGGGACGTTTGGGGAAGGACAAGGGGAAAAGCAGTAGGAGGCAGGAGATCTGAACAGGTACAAAGGGTGGCCTGTGTGAGGGAAAGTGGTTAGACACCAGGCAGGACTTCCGGGCCTTCTCTGGGAAGTTTCTGGGACTCATCCAGGGGCCGCCCCTACCGGTGGGGGACCTCCAGAGCTCAAGGCCCAGAGAGGGGAGACCCTGGTCCTTCCCACCGAGGGCACAGGGGGCAAGGGGAGAAAGGAGGGGGGAGCCATCCTGGTTCCTCATCCTCCGTTCCCGACACTGGAGGGAGGCAGCTGTGGGAGCTGGGACTTTCCTGAGCAGCAGAAGATTCTGGGAAATCAGAGACAGCTGCGGGGCGGGGCTGACTCCAGGCCTCCCTTCTCCCTCCGCCACCCTCAGACCCTCTTCAAACCTCCTCTTCCCCCAGATCTTTCATCCTCCAACCGCCCCCCACCCCACTCTCTCCTCTTCCCTCACAGCCACCCGTCCTCACTTGGTCCTTCTCAGACCCTCACCTCCTCCCTCAGACTCTTTTATCCCTCCTCCATCCTCAGACTCAGAACCCCCAGCGCCCTCTCTCTCAGCCCCTCCAAGCCCCTGTGGGCCGACTGCAGACACCCCCTTCCCCCTATCTGGGCCCACAGCCATTCCTCCACCGGCCGCAAGGGAGCCCGGGAGTGGGAGGGCCTTGGGCAGCCATCCAGCACTACCTCCTGGGGCCAGCACCTTGACAAGCCCCGCTGCTCCGAGGCTCAGCTGCCCTCTGTACAGCAGGGTAGTGCTCTGCATCCCAGCCCTCCCCTGTGTTTGAGAGTCCCGGGAGGTGAGGGCTGGGTAGGCGGGGACCCCAGACTTTCCACCCTAATTCCCTCACCTTTTCCCTTGTAGCCACAACTCTGCGGGCAGGGGGTGACATCAGCCCCATTTTCCAGAAAAACAAACTGAGTCTCAAGAGAAATGACCTGTCTAAGGTCCACTGTCAACAAGGGGTGGAAGTGGGACTTGAACCCAGGTCTTGCCCCCAGATGCTCTCCCATTACAGGCGGCCGAGGGGGAGATCCAGAGACGCAGAAAGGGGGAAAAGGGTGAGGCTTCTGTCAGCCCACAGATGCTCCTCACATCCCGGTTAACGATCCACTGGGGTGGGGCCCCAGTCCTGGGCAAAGTCCCTTCCTGAGAACCGGGGGCCCACACCCATTTTCAGGGTCCCAGGAAGGGGAGACGAGGCGCAGCCAGAGATCGGGAGACAAAAATATGGGACGGGGCTGGAGACGGAGGGAGGCCAAGGATGGAGATGCAAAGACATGGGGAGACACACAGAACCAGGGAGACCCTGCGAGCCGCCTGGACAGACTCGGGGTGCAGCACCCATTCCCTCTCCCCCTTAGGTCCCCAAAGCCTTCCGCTCCGCCTCCGGTAACTCCGTGACCCGCACTCAACCCCAGCGACGGCCCCGCCTCCAGGGAAATCCGGGAAAGCCCCGTGCGACTGGGGCCCCTCCCCGGGGCGGGGAGAAGGGAGGCCGGGGAGGGGACACGGGAGAAGCCCGCCTCTGCCCTTCCCTCCCCCCGCTTACCCCACCCCGCCCAGCCGCCCGCAGCTCCTGCCTGCCTCTGAGTCATGCCCCCAACCAGCCTGGCCTGTTCCCCACCCACCAACCCCGCCCGGGATGGGAGCCGGACGTGGGGCCCCCCCCCCCGCTTCCCCCCCCCCGCCCAGCCGCCCGCAGCTCCTGCCTGCCTCTGAGTCATGCCCCCAACCAGCCTGGCCTGTTCCCCACCCACCAACCCCGCCCGGGATGGGAGCCGGACGTGGGGCAGAAGGGGAGCCAGACGGCCCCCGCCTCCTGGGCCCGGGCTTTGGTCGCTGTGACTCTGGTCTTGCGGCCCTGCGGCTCTTGCTATGTCCCCGTCTCCCTCCTTAGTCTCCCACGACCTCCATGCCCCTTTCGCCACGTCTCTTTCTTTCTCTGCATCGAGGATTCCCGGAGCACCCACCCTGTGCCCAGCGGCTCCGGCTGGGTGCAGGGACCCCGCCGGGAAGAGGCATGTTCACTGTTTCCCTGCGCACTCCCCACCGAACACCACCCCCAGCGAAGTTCAGACCCACAGCTGAGGAGGCAGAGGTGGGGGCAGGGCAGGCTGGGGGATAGTGCCTGGACACCTGCGGAGCGTAGTCCCTGCCCCGGGTGCGTCTTTTCGCTAGCACAAAGGAGGAAATGGCTCACGGAAGGGAAGTGCCTGGTCAAGGTCACCCAGCGAGGAAGTAGGAGTAGGGAATCGAACCCGCGTCTTAGCGACCCCAGGGCCTCAGGGAATTGCCTCCCTGGAGGAGAGGCTGAGAGCGGACAGCACTCGAGTGACAGAGATGGTGAGGGAAGCAAAGAGACGAGACGATAGAGACAGAGACACTGAGAGCAGAGACACAGAGATAGAGAGACAGCTATCCAGACCCGAAAGCCAGAGAGAGTTACAGACTGAGAGACACAGAGGCCTATAGCCAGAAAGACAAAAACGAGGAGACAGAGCCTGACGCCCGCAGCCGCAGGGGTGGGGACCCCGCAACCCGCGACCCCGCCTTCTTCCCACCCACCCCCCGCCCCCCGCCCCCCGCCAAGACCCGGCCGCTCCGGGCGCCGCGGGGTTGGGAGGGGGCGGGCGCGGGGCGCGGGGCGCGGCGCGGGCGGGGCGCTCTGCAGGCTGCACCGCGGGACTGCGGGAGCGGCGGCGGGTCCAGGAAACCCCTGGGGCGGACGGGTGGCCCCGGGGGGGCCGGGGGCGGGGAGGCGGGCTGTCGGCACCGCCCGGGCCGACAAAAGTCCCTTCAGTTCAGCCGGCAGCAGGGGAAGTCCCGGCACTCGGCGCAGCCACCCTCCCGTGCCGCCAACCCAGCCGCACTCCGGCCGCCCGCTCGGCCGCCGTCCCCGGCGGCCCCATGCCCCGATGCCCCGCGGGGACCATGGACGAGGGGCCCGTGGACCTGCGTACCCGGCCGAAGGCCTCCGGACCCCCAGGCGCCGCGCTGCCGCTCCGCAAGCGCCCTCTGCGCGCGCCCTCCCCGGAGCCCGCCGCCCCCCGCGGCGCTGCGGGCCCCGTCGTCCCCCCGGATCCCCTCCGCGGTGGCTCAGACATGCCAGCGGTGCCTGCGCCCCCCCACGGCCTGGCCCGGCCAGAAGCAATTTACTACCAGGGTGAGTGGGTTCCGCGGGTCATGGCCTGGTGGGGGCCAGGCAGTGCAGAGGGTCACTACCGGAGCCAGGGGCAGAGCTCCGACGTAATATACGGGGCCTCGGGCAGCTGAGGGACAGAAGCCAAAGTCCCAAGGGCACAGATATGGGGTTCCTGGGGAGCTGGGCGCACAGCCTGAGGTCCCAGGGGTGCAGATATGGGAGCTTCAGGGAGCAGTGCCTTGGGACACAGGTATCGGGGTTGTAGGAAGGCTGGGTGTCAGGGGGCCCTGAGGGATAGAGCCCAGGGTCCGAGTGCCACATATAGGGAGCTAGGAGACAGTACCCAGAAGTACAGAAATGGGTTCTCAGGGAATCAAGCCCCAGGAACACAGAATTATAAACTCTTCAGAACCCAGATATCTAGGGTTATAAGGAATCAGCACTTGGACCAAAGAAACTGGGGTCTTGGCATCCCGAACTATATGTGGGGTCAAAGGAAGTCACGGGAACAGAGACTGGGGTTCTAAGGAGACAGATATTAAGGATCCCCGGATGTCAAAATCTCGGGAACCAAGATATCGGGAGACGATGGGAATTAGGAGAACAGTGTTGGAGTTCTGAGCACCCCAATATCTGGGATCACAAGGACCCAAGGAAACCGATCCAGATACCAGGGGTCCTTAAGGAACCAGCAGGCCAGAGATCTAGGGTTCTGAGCACCCAGTTCTGTGTGCTTGCAAGTGACCAGTGTCTTCGCTGGGGTCACAAGGTCAGGTGGCCTTAGGGGGCTTGGGCTCAGTCTAAGAATTGGGGGCAGGACTGGGGAGTTCTGGGACTCAAGGGTTTAGAGCCAGGAAGAAGGATTCAGGGGTCTCTGGGCAGAAGGCCTCAGGGTATCAAGGCCTCGTATTGGACATGCAAGGACCAGGAAACTTGGGGGTTCAGGAATGGGAGCCCCCAAGGACCAGGAGATGACAGAGAAGGCCAAAATCCATTTTCCGGATCCGGATCCTGTCTTCATCCCTGACCTCCAGGAGGGGGTAGCCCCTCCCACAGCTGTGCCCACCTCACGATCTCGGAGTGACCCTCAGAGCTGCAGAGACCCCATGCCTAGTGCCTCCAGACCTTTGCCCAGTTTCTGCACCTTCCACCCCCTCAGAGTACAGTTTCAAGCTGTGCATCAGGAGGCCTGTCACAGCCTTCTCCTTTTTCCCATTCCCCCCATGAGAACCTGGGCCTCAGTTTTCCCCATCTGTGTGATGGGTGGATATGGATTTGCCTGCTACCATGGTCCCTTCCAACAGTTTGATCTGAACATGTTTCTGGCACCACTCCCTCTCCCCAAACTCTGTACACATTCACCCCACACCCTACGTCCAGTGCTGCACCCATCCTTACCTCCCTCAGCCACAAATTCACTCAGCAAACAGGCCCTGAGGTCCCCCTGCTGAGTGATGATGGGGGTTCAGTCCTTAAGGGACTCTCTGCCTAGTGGGAGATGGGGCATCAGACACAAGTAAAGATGAGACAGTGAGAGTATCCAGGGATGGGGTGGGGGGTTGGGGGGGGGAAGCTGCGGGAGCCCAGAGGAGGGATACAGTAGAGGAGTTTGTCTTGCGCCTTGAGGACTCAGTAGGAGATGCAAAAGGGACCTGGGAGAAAGGGCAGGTGACACGCAGTAGCGAAGGCCGGGAGGTGGGGGGTGGGTTGAGGATCTGTGGGCTTGGTCTCACGCATGTCCTTTCTCTGCCCAGGACCTTTACTGTCCCTGTACCCCACCCCGACCATGGGCTCCCCCTTTCCTCTGCTGAAC